TTCACGCACCTCACTGAAACTGAATTGCGTTTTATCTGACTGTATGTCACACATCCAATGTAAAAGAATTCTCCACAACACCAAATCAACTTCAACTTGAGAAGCAGTGTTTTTCCAAAAAGTTTCAGAGCATCCATAAAGAGGCTTCTGACCAATACTGTAAAGTCAGCATCCAAATTACTCTTTAAGGAAACATTCCTTAGATCTGTAACAAGGTTTTTTATCTAAAACCATTTAACTCAATTTCCAAATTATTTTGAAAAGAAAAAAATTTCTGAAAACACTTGGCTTTTTCTTCCGTTACAGAGAACTTTGAAGCAGAGATGTTTGATTTGATTTTACATTTTGAAAGCAGTTAACAAAAAGCATGAGTGCTCAATACATCTTTTCTCCTCACATCAATAGAGTAGTAGTTATCTGACAACATTTTTTTTTTTTTTTTGAGAAAAGCTCTTTTATCATCAAACTTTTGAAAGAGAGTCACAGGTTTTGATGGAAATACCCAGACATCTTCAGATAACAGGTCTTGGAAAAACAGCTTTCATTCTTTACATACTTTTTAAATAATTACAACTATGTATACTCAAGCTCATTGGCACAGCTGTGCAAAAAGATAAAAATCAATCCTAGGAGTGCAAGACTTAAACCAGGCTATCTTTAATATCATGAAATCAAAACCTGTAACATAAAGGTGATGGATGGAAAAACTGGCAGAGTCAAGAGAAAGCACCCTTTTTATTGGTCATGTTTTCTGCACTTTAGCCCAGTGAAATCGATTCCCAGCTTCCAGCCCAGGCAGGGCACGGCATCCAAGTAGGAAGAGGTGACACGTAAGAGTCCTCAGACAAAACACTACAATGTCAATTCCCAGCTTCCAGCCCAGGCAGGGCAAGGCATACAAGTAGGAAGAGGTGACACGTAAGAGTCACCTCTTCCTACTTGGTGAGAGGTGACATGTAAGAGTCCTCAGACAAAACACTACAATGTCTCTCCCTGTCTCAGGGAATGAACTGTGTCTAGAACCACACAACAAACAGCTAAGACAGCAGCACTGATTTTTAAAACCTTCACTTATTTGTACAGGAGTTGTGAACAAAAGTGAAATTTCTCAGTCACTAAGTAATCAGATGGGCAAAACATTTTGAAAGAAACACAGTAGTCATGTTCTAATTTCACTAACTATAATAATTAAACTCTTATTTTCTTTAATTAGGGATTTTGTGATCTCCCCAGGAATCCATCTCAGAAAAGAATGGTGGCCTTAATCATTCAAGGTAAAGAGTTCATCTAGTACTCTACATCATAGAAGTGAATCTTCACATTTCCAACACATCTAAAAAGTTAAGATTTCTGATTCTATTCTGCTAAATATCAAAGTTGCACATGCAATTTGTCAGAAAGGACAGAAATACAGAGAGACATAGTACTAGATAAATGACATGCAAGTCTACAAACATACATAGAAAAAGGACTGGATGAGAAAAAGCATTCCTCCAAAGAAATCAGTTTTTCTATTCATAGAACACTACCTCTAAACTGTAGAACTTTTACCTAACAAAAGAATGTGGGGGTTGGGAACAGTTGATCAGGTCATATGTAACTGCAGAATTCAACCAAGCACAGTAAGATTTCATGTGATATACCTTATTAAAAGTGTACACTAAATATTGCTATGGTATGAAAGTACATGTATCATGTTTCTGATTAGAATTATAAAGTTGCTACTAGCAACTTGACACAGGTGGGATCAAAAGCATAGTGTATTAGAAAAGCCACGTTTTTCTATTTCTTTTCAAATAAAGTTCTGTTACAAATGATGCTGCCACAAAACAAAGCAATGAAGACATGAAAAGCCAGCATTATAATTGTATGCCAAAATATGCATCTGATAAAACACTTAATTATGGATTCCCTACAAAGCATGCCTATCTTAAGTAAATTGGACAATCCAAAGGACATATGCCAGTTCTGATGAATATTTTTTTCTTCATTTTCTTGCTAAGCTTTTTTAGTTGTCATCTGCTGTATGACAACTCATTCAGCCTGCACATTAGATTAGGTGAGGATTTTCTTAGTATTTGCATGCTAGGTTTTTACTTCTCTATTGCTTGTCCAGTGTTGTATGATCATTAAAAAAGTGTTTTGACTCAAAGGCAGTACATTTGATGACAGAAAGACTCATGAGTTTGTTCAAATTAAGCAACTCATCAATGAAATGCTGGAAGAGCATCTGGACAGAATCTGAGTGCCAGCTGTGGCCACTTCAAATTAAAAGTTTGCTAACTGGTCCATAACAAGCAGCACTCTTCCTCTGATTCTCAGCTCCCACTGCTTCTACTAACCCTGGTGTGAAAATGACGTAAGCTGGCAGTTTCTCTTAAAAGAAAACACTCAAACAGTTGGGCATTAAACACTTTTTGACAGAGGATGATGATACTTCAAGGTATTATCATAGCTATTCATTCTGCCTTCCCTAAACCACTGAATCTCTTCAAGGCTTCACTGTCAGCTATAATTGTGAACCTTCAGCTTAACTTTCCAAAAAAGTTTAAACACACAACTGTATGCTCACATTCCCTAGATACAAATTACACATCCTTAAACTGCATACAGGATATAATGTGTGTCTTTTAGGTAGTGTATCTCAGTAGGAAACTATTTTTTTTACTTTGTTTCCCCTTTAAAGTCTGTGTAAAAGCAGTGATACGGACAGACTCCTTGCTGTTAAAAAAGAATTAAGTCACACCACAACTCTGCTCAATGAGTTGAGTCTGCAGTGTTCTTTCCTCAGGATATTAATCTTCCTAAAAGCATTCTTGCTCTTCTTCACAGTTACCATCTAACAGCAGTAATTACTTCTTGTTCTGTGTTATCAGATGTAACAGGTATTAAATGACTTTTTTTTGGTCATTGGATTGATGTATCTAAAAAAGATTTTAAGAAGCAGTCACTGACAAAAGGAAGTACAAACTCTGGCTTAAACAGATACATTCGCAAAAGACAGATGCAGCAGATGTGCCCACAAATATAGTCATTAAGAAGGTCAGAAAACTGCATCCGAAGAGCCAACTGTGCCGCCGTTCTATATATGCACTCCTGCCTAAACATAGCGGCTTAGAAGGTACATTCACACATCAACCTTGCTTCACAACACTATGTAAATTATATATTTAATCAATGGAGGTAACCAAATTACCAGTCTTTAGCAGATCAGCTTGCATTTTTGTTATAAAGGGAACTACAATACCATCTTTTATATGAGATACCATGACTGGAAGACAAAATGGGCTCCTAAGGACAATCCAGAAAGCGTAGCAGAAAATAAACATTAGGATTTTTTATTACATATACGCATTCACAGTATATCTTCATCAATTGAAATTTAATCACCTTTTTACAATTTAGAGGAAAAGGCAGTTTTTAGGGTAGTTAAGCCATGTATCATCAATACCATGAAGCTAACCTATCAGTTATAATAGCTCCTATAAAATACCAGAGTGAAATTGCAATAAGCCTAGAAAATGGGCTACAAATCCCAGATATGCTCAAGCAAGCACTGAACCAAAAATAAAAATAGGTAGACAGGAAACCAAGAACTAGATAGCATTCATCTAATTCACGACCACTAACAGCAGAGATCACGGTCCAAGGTTTTAAAGCACCTTATTCAGCTCCAAATGGCAATTATTGGACAGGGACTTCAATTATAAAAACCTTCCCTCTTCAAAACGAGTTAAATTTACAACAGTTCCTTTCTATTCACTCCACATATAATAGCTCTTACATTTCCCAGAAGCATCTTATTTTGTTTAGGCAAATTAAAAATTGAAAACATTTAATGCTCTCAACTAATAAAGAACATTGATGTTGCAGTATTTATCATGCTGGGATATGTTTATTACACACTGATAAAGAGCCTCCCACACTCTCCTCCTCTTTCAAACACTATACTGATAAGAAAGGAATGGACTACACTACAATGAATATATTCTAACATTTCAATTTAAAAAGTCAAGTCTCCCTTCTCCTCACATCCTCCTCCAAAGAACACATTCTTAAAAATTCATTAGAATCTTATTTTGGAAAAAAAGCTATGTGAAAATCCAATTACTAGATTGTACAAAAATGCAAAGACAGTTGCATTTTTTTCCTTCACTTATAAACATTGCTCCTAGAGCTGAAGGCACTAAAGAAACCCAAACATCTCTCACTTGTAGTCACAGCCTTAGAACAGACTCAGTCCAAAGGAATGCATGGGATCTACGACAGGTGCATCACTAACATGTTTTATATTTTTTGTATATAATTCCCCTGACCACATAGAAGTCAACCAAACAAAAGACAGTAATGACAGATTATTTACAGCAGACTTTTGGGAGAAAAAGAATAATAAAATAAATCAATTAGAATTGTACCATAATCCATCCTAGAATGCATTCAGTATCAGAAAAAATTAAATTACTTTGTTTTCACACACGCAGAATCACAGAATGGTGGGGTTGGAAGGGACCTCAGGAGATCATCTAGTCCAACCCCCCTGCCAAAGCAGGTTCCCTACACCAGGTTGCACAGGAAAGCGTCCAGGCAGGGTTTGAACATCTCCAGAGATGTTTGTAAGGAACTTTCAATGTTCCAGTTTTGATTTTCATTGTAAGAGAAGAGAAACATGTTTTCACATAAACATATTATATATACTGAAAATGTTAAATAATGTTCCCCCCTGCAAATCTCTTCCTTCACTTAGTTCAAAATAAGTACTAAGAAACAGTATCAGACTGTTTCTGTCATTCAAGTACACACAAATACTCCATTACAGCAAAATTACAGTGGGAAGAGTCTAACTATTAAAAAAAGCAAACACAATATCAGGCAGCAGTGGCACTGCAGTCGTACCATTCCATTACCTATCTACAACATTAGGAAACAAGCATAAGAGGAAAATGCTTTTTTTAAAAAAGGACTAAGTACAGTGCACATTAGCTTACAATAAAAGCACCTACCAATGCATTCTGGTTTCCTGAAGCCTTTTTTATGTTTCTTGCTGGCATTCCATGAAGATGACTAAATCTATTCTGGAAACCTATAAAAAAGAAGTATTAATTGATTTAAAAATATTTCCTATATCATATAATCAATAAAATTCACCATTATACCAATCTACTAATCTGACTTCAGATAAACAAAAACATCTTAATATTGTCAAACACTGCACTGGTGGAAACAAAGAGCACAGAATGGGAAAAGTGAGAGTAACGCTAAGTTGTCATGGAAATTAACATTTCTCTAGATATTCTCACTGCCATCCTGATTCTACGCACCGTTGACTGCATAAGCAGAGTTCACACTGAACTACAGTAGGAAAGTGATTTTTGCATCACTTACAACTTCATTAGTACTAGAAAATGTTAAACCTGGTGAATATGCAAAGACCAAGTCCTCAGAAACAATTCCAACCATCTGGAAAATTAGCCTCACAAAAGAATTCAATATATTCAGTGTGCAGAGTAGTTTAGAAGTTATTTGACCACTGATCACATAAAAGATCTGTATTCGAACGTGAAAGGAGATCCTTGTGGCAGAGGGAAGGTACAATAAAATTCTTTGGCAGCAAGCTCAGGTAAAACAACTTCAATCTTTAGATAAGAGTGGGTTCCTGGCTGTACACATAATCTAACACTGGTGCAACTTACCATTGGACACATTGGATCCACAGCTGCCTGAAGTATTTTAAAAGGAAAAAAAATAATTTATATTTTCTAAGTTACAATCTCAATACTTGCTCTAAAGGCACACTTCCCTCTCCTCTACAAACAATATGGCCCAAGCATAAAGCAAAGCAAAGCAGATGGTCACACTAGTCTTTCTAACCTTTGAATTAATGAATTTCTATAGAATTTTAAACATTATCACAGAAGCAGGAACAAAATGAAATAAAAAGATTCACTTTAAATAACGCTTAATAATTCTCAATACAAACATTGAGACAACAAATTAAAGAGCAGACTTTCAAAATGAGCCAAGTTTTACACTTCCCGACTTTTCTAATAATTTACTTTTTAAAAAAACATTTCTCTCTAATGTTATCTTAAAAAATAAATAGTTCAAGGAAACAAACTGGTAACTGCAAGATCCTGTCAACATTTTACATATTTTGTATAACATACAGATATCTTTCTACTGTACCCAAGTGATTCTACAGTTTGCACTTGCTTGATTGCTACTTACCTCTCCTCCCTGAACGAGACATAAGAGGGAAAGTACCAGTTAAGATACTTTCAAAGACTGGATCAGGCAATTCTCTCTCCAGTTCTGTAGAGTCATCTTGTTCCCACCAGGGAATGACCCCTGTAATTCCACATGCTCCACCAGGCTCATTTTCATGAAACCAATCACTCTGCTCATCATCACCTGTGTGAGGGCAGTATCCCCCCAAAGCCAGCCAAAAGGAGGGAGGAGGAGAGAAGACAAAAATCAGATGTTACCATCAATAAACACATAAACACTCTGACAAGACAATTATTTCTTTTGTTTTATAGCTGTACAACAATTACTCATATATAGCAGTTCTACTTGGAAAATGTTTCTCAATAGCATGACAAGCATTGCTGTCAATGAAAGCACATAAAATGTAATGTTTTAAAACCAATTTACAATAGTAGAAAACAATAATAAACTAGTTAATCCTTTGGCAAAAACTGCAGGGAAATCCATTTAAGTTACTGCACTTTACATATTAACAAAAAACAAGCCTTAATCTCCTGCAGGGAATTAAAAGGTATAAAACTGTGAAACTAGTTCTTTGCAGCTGATAATGGTATGTAATTAGCTTAATTTCATGATTTGTATGGCTAGTAAAAGGAGAAAACAATCATGAACAGATGTGACTAAATGAAGTTAATCTGATTAAGTTCATTTAGAAATAAGTTTTGAAAAAGTTGATTTTAAATGAAAACTGACAGTATCATGTGATTGAGAATTATACTGCATTATACAACAAAGCTGGTCATTTTTACTGACAATATTTAGATGTACTATTCAAATACTGGGATTTAAAATCAAAAGTAAGACAAGACTGAAAATCTGATCTCAAACTTTGCTCGTAAACACACTGGCAACTAAAAATAGTTATGTTTGTTTTAAAAACATGTTATTTTATATTAACCAGGTAGTTTGCAGAAGATCAGAAAATATCTTCATCAGACACGTCAAATTTCCTTTCTTACACCCAAAACTGAGATTTCAAAGTATGTGCTGTACATTTTAATTCTACTTCAAAGTACCCTAGCCATGTATCACTATTTCTGCATAAAAATTGTTTGTTTGGCCTTCCAATTTTTAATTAGGCAGAACTAAGCAAGACACACAATTTTCATGAACAAAAAGCATTTGTGTAAAATTTCATTGCCTCTCAATCTCACAATGGGAAAATACGAACAATGAAAACCCAAGCCAAATCTTTAAGAAAAATAAAAGTCAACACACTTTCTCCAAATAAATTGTTGCAATGAAAACAACACTTCAAGACCAAGCACAAGTGAAAATGGCTGTAAATGTTCCTCAGGTCAAGTACTTCAAGAAAATATAGAATAATTAAGGCTCCGCACTGGTCACTTGTAGGTGAAATGTGATCCTTAAAACTTTAATGATCACTACTAAAGGCAAAATTAGGAGAGGCTAGAGAACAGAAACTTTTATATAGAGGAAGGGGAAAACCTGGAGCATTTCAGATTACTCTCTGTATTTATTCTAATCTTCATTTATAGCTATGACATTTCACAAAGGCATTCACCATTAATTCTATCCTCATTTTGTTACAGCCAGGTATAGCTTCTTCAGAGGATGTCTAAGAGCACTGAACAGACAGTGGTGGTAGCGGAGGGACAATCACACCTTTTAATTATATTGATCTGTAGTTCGGAATTAAGTTTGAACTCCTTTTTTTTATAATTTCCAAACTTTCATGTAGATAAACTTTGTCTGAATATTCTGTCATAAGATGAAAGTTCCAGCTACCTTGCCTAATAAGAAATACTATCAGGAACTCAAAGCAAGTCTTGTTACACATAATTCAGCTATGAAAGTAAGTAGAAAATTCTGAGATTGGGTTTCACAATCAGCTAAAGGACAGAAGCCTGTAAGAGGTATGCAATGCCGTCTTGAAGGAAAGAGCTAGAATTTAAGATGGGTTGGTTGACGGCAGGATAAGGCAAGTAGTGGCTACGGAAAGAAACTGGTTATCTTCACAACAACGGTTCTGTGGCAAGAAATACAAAATGACTCCTGCTTTTTGTGCAGTAGAACATTAGTATGCTAAGTAACTATCCATTAAGACATCTTACCTGTTAATGCTATTATACACTTTCCTAAGCACTTATGTTGCTTACTGCCAAAGACATAATAAAGGACTTAAGATCTGAACCTCGTAGGCTTTTCCCATGTGACAGCAGGCTCCAGGCATTAAGCTTGTCTGTGCACTTTTAAACAACTCTGAATCCTTTGACTATTTTCAATCGTATTATCACCTTGAGGCAAGCATAAATCTATTACTATTGTTCTCATCCAGGTGAGAGCACCCACAGGCATTTTGTTTACCAGTTGCTCTACCCTTAAGGGATGCCATTTTCAAAAGGAGTCAAGGAAGACCACTGCATTTAATCAATTCCTGACTTCATATGTATAGGCACTATAACACAGAGGCCTCTCCGCTCAAGAATTTGGTAACCAGATACTTGGATTTTATCCTTCTTAATTTTCAGCTCTCAAAAGGCCACACAGTATCCATAGCAAACATGAACTTCCAAAAATTAAAAATTCAAAGCAACATTTTTTTACTTCAAAATACTTCAAAAAATTCAATACTCTGTCCTTTCCTCTTA